TTGGCTGAACTTCCGTTTTCAGTCAGTCTTCCAACTGTCCCAAATGTTCCGTAACTCTTGAACATCATTATGCTTTAGGCTGACAGAGGCGTAGCTAACCAGATCTGACACATAGCTTCCTTGAAGATTGTATCCCTTTTCTTTCTGAGTCTTTTCGGACCATAGTCGTACCTCGATGTTTTTTACCTCTTGCATTACAACCCCTTTGTCCATTAATGCAAATTATTTGTGTGTAACGAACACCTTTTTATAGATCAATGACCTCTTTACATGATGCAAATGATAAGAAGACAAACATGAGAAAGAAAAATATAGTTAGTAAGATAATAATAATAATAATGAAAGTAAAAAGATAGAAAAAACAAATTGTATGAAAAAAAATGTCGTAGGCTTTGAAACAGAGTTTTATGGTAGGTTATAATTCCCTATAGTCTCTCGGTTTAGATTCTAAAGAAGGTACCCGAGTTCTCCTTACTGGTGGCCACCATTGGGCTTGCCAAACCCTTAGCCCTAAGCCCATTACAAGCTCATATGGACTAAGTTAAACTCGAGATGATACATTCCCTTATGCCCACACGGAGAATAAATTCTCATGAAGACATAAGGTATATGAATCTCGAAGGCTACTCGCTAGGCCTACACAGAGAATAAATTCTCACGAAGGCATCGCTTTCACCCCACTTAAAAAGGGTTTGGAGCTCGGGTATAGAGCCTTAGATGAAAAATCTTAATAGGCTAAAACCATTGAAAGAAAATGTCAGTACAACTATTTATTTGAAAAGATAATCAAAGGTAACTAATAAGGATCGAAAAATTAACTTAAAATTTAAAATTACACTTTTCACTTAAGAAGAAAACATGAAATTAACCTTAGCCCAACTCACTTACCTGTCCCCAGCGGAGTCCCTAAGCTGTAGCATCTGTCTTTCAGATGGGCTCGGAATTGGGCTTCGACTCAAAAAATGTTAGAGTCGCCACTGATCATTTAAAAAAATTATTTGGATTGATCGGACGCCATCTTACCTGATCTGCGTCTTACCGGAAATATGTCGGATTTGGGAGTCGGTTACAGTTAAGGAATGATTAGCACCCTTGAACTGTGTTTTCGGTACTAATTATTTTCCAGTTATCTTAATTAAGAAAATTGTACTTTAAATTGAAAGATAAAATTTCGATCTGAATTACTCACCTTTAATGGATTTAAAAGCATACCTTTAAAAAGTAAAAAAATGTTAGATAAAGTAAAATGCAGAATAAAAAGGACAATAAATATAAAAAATGTCCCAAAATAAAAAAAAAATGTATACAAAGGGTAAAACCAAAGAAGTTAACTAAATTAAATAAACAAATCAAATGAAATAAAAATAAAATAAAATAAATAAATAAAATAGAAACAAAAAGAATAAAATGCAAATAATAATATATGTATATATATATAATGTTAGGGGAAAAGAAAACAATAAAAATATAGAAAAAAAAAAGAAAAAATAATAATAAAAAATATAAATATATAAAAATGTTATTTAAAGAAAAATAATAATAATAAATGGAAATAATAAATAAATAAATAAAAATAAATAAATAAATAAATATATTAGATGAAACAAACAAAATAAATAGAGAAGAAGAAAAAACATATATATATATATAATAATAATAATAATAAAGAACTAAATCAAAAGGAAAATAAAAATAGATAGAAAAATTTAAAAAGAAATTGGGGCTAAAAATCGAATTTAAGGGTCAAAATACACATTTAGAAAATATGAGGGACTGAAACCATAATTATCCCTCTTTTCTGGTAAAACACGCGGATCCTAGGATACTTGGGTTGGGTCAACGGGTCACTCGGGTTTGGTATAAATACCAAAAATACAAACACCTATCATATTCCCCTCTTTTTCAAAACCGATCAAAACCTATTTTTCATTTTTCTCTCAATGTGTTCATAGTGTTCTTCCCAAATCAAAAACACGGCCGTTGGTTTCATAATGAACCCATATTTCGGTCGCCGTTGATCGGTGGCGATTTTTTTCTTTTCGAAAGCTCGTTCGATCCCCTCTTCAAAAATACAAATGTTTTTTTGTAAAATAGCCTCAGGGAGGACAAGATCTTAAATGCCCTCACCCCCGATCATAGGTCGATCCCTTTTTCAAGTTTTTTGAGTCAAAAAAAATAAAAATCATCAACATGCACGAGCCAAAGACAACCGAACAAGGTAAAAAAATGATACCTTTTTATTTCTTTTCGAAACCTTACAAATGCTTGGTTTTTTTTTTTTTTGGATATTGCTCTTGTGTTTCTTGCGTATTTATAGTGTTTAGATTGTTCAGAGTCCTGACTTGTTGTTTGTTTTTTGACTTGGTGATGTTGGTACCGAAAACTCTGGGGAGGGGTTGTTGGATGCGGTTGGAATGGCGTTGGAGTGGGGGCTTTAGGGTTGTGAAACCCTAATCTCTAGTGCGACCTGTACCATTGGATGGGTCCAGATCCAACGGTGGAGACGAGGGGTGGCTGGTGGCTGAGATGTTGAAAACTCTAATTTATTTTAGGGTTTCAGATCGGGTCAATTCGGGTTGTAGCTTGGGCCGGTTTGGGTTGCTCCAAGATTCAGGTCTGCAAGGGTTCTAGGTTGCTACTGGGTTGGATTGTTGGGCCAACTGGGTTTGTTGGTGTTGGGTAACCAATTGTAATGGGCCTTGAGCTGTTTGAATTGTACAAAACAAATAAAAGTATGTTAGTTTAATGAAAATAATAATAATATATATATGTATGGACAGAAAAAGTGTGTCTACATCTATAATATATTAGTGCCGTATTCTATTTGGTTTATTATTTGGTCTACTATCATAGTAAGAGCCGCCCATGGGACCGACCATCACAATCGTTCCATCTACTTTATTCTAACTTTTAATTTAACCCATCATTATTTTTCTCAGTTTATTCATTTACTATTATTCTTTTTAACTCTTTCTTCTTTGCTGATATTGTTTTAGAAATCACATGATTTATTTATAACATGTCACATATAATAAAAATTTTAAAAAAATGAAAAGAGAGTCTTGAAAGTAAAACAAATTTAAAAATATCTTACACAATTTTAAAAATATCTTATTTTTAAAATTTATTTTTTATTTTTTCAAAATTATAGTTATACTTAATTTAATTCTTAAAAGATCATAAAATCATTTCAAAATGTAAAAAAACTCATAAGAAAATTGAAAAATCCAAAATTTCTTAAAATGTTATTATTTTTTCAAATTAAAATTAGTTTCTTATTTTTAAAGGCCTGTGTGTTTTTTTCTGATTTGATTTGATTTTTCTGTTTAAAGAATTTAAATATTTATTAATTTATTTATCAATTATATGGCACAATCTCTAGTTAAACATTGGGTAAACTTAAAAAAAATAGTACATGAGTAAACCTGAAAATTAAAGCCAATGTTATTAAAACCGGACCAGCCGGTTCGACCGGTTGAACCGTGAACCGGTAGCCTGTCCGGTCCGGTTAACTCTCAAAACCGGATTAGCACAGAACCGGCTGAAAACTGAGAAAATCGGGGTGAACCGGCTGAAAACCAGCAAAACCGGTTTGAATCGCCGGTTCACTTTTTTTCAACGTCATTTATTCAACGAGCCGAGTCAAATTCGAGTATTGTTGAGCTCGACTCGAACTCGAAAACTTTAAAAGTAAGCTCAACTCGACTCAAAAACTCACGAGCTAAAAATTATCAACTCGAAATATAATATTAAAACTTGAAATCGAAAAGGCTCGAACTCAAAAAAAAAATTGAAGTTCGATTGAAGCCTAAAATTTGAGCTCAATTGAAGCAAAAGAATAGTTCGCTTTAGGCTCACCAAAAGGATCTATGATTTTGAATGTCAAATTACCTCTATTATTTATAGAAGTAAGTTGGGATGCTCTTCTATGTTTTTTAGCCATGTAAGATTGTTTTGTTCTTATATTTTTACTCTTTAAACTTTTGGGATACTCTTCTATGTTTATTAGCCATGTGGGATTATTTTTTTTAAAACAATTAAACCAAATGACATCATTTGTTATGATTTTTTTTAAACCTCAATTTTATTTTTTTGATTATAGTTATATAATTATATTTATTATTTAATATGTTTTACCTTAAATATTATGTTGTAGTTAATTTGAATCATTTTGTTTCACTTGATTTTATGGTTTTTCATTTATACATGTTATGACTTGTGATATTTTTATACCTTTTAATATTGTAAACTTAAAAAAAGTGTTACATATATATATTAATATTGCTTTAAATATTATGTAAAATTAAAAAAAAATTATTTTATATAAAATTCAGTTCAACCGCGATTAAACCCGGTTGAACCAGTGAACCAGTAAATCAATACCTTCACTGGTTCAATGTCCGATCCAATTTTAAAAACATTGATTAAAGCACAGAGAAAAAGTGACTTTAGGTCTACTTTTCTCGCATACTTTTCATAATCACATAGAAAAATGGGGTTGTAATATAATTTACCATGAAAAGTCTAAATAATATAATCCACAAACTCAACTACTCTAATAACAACACATCAATTGGATAAAGCTTGTCCCCAATTATTATTATTATTATGGGTAAACTACACGTTTAATAATATAATTATCACTTTTATTCCGTTTTAATCATCTAATTACTTTTTTTTAATACTTAACATTATATTTTGATTTTATTTTGACTATCTATCTTTAAAAATATTCATAAAACTACTGACATAATATTTTTAAAAAAAAAATTCAATGATGACATGACATTACCTTACGATAACATGTTAGCATCACCGTTAATTTTACAAGGTGACCAATATGTGACCAAAATATATTCAAAACGTAAAGTTAAGTATGGTTTTGAAACAAAAAAATAGTTGAATGACCGAAATAGAACAAAAATGATAGCTAAGGTGCTAAACGTGAAACTTACCCTATTACCTTTCCTTCTAAAGTGTGCCATTATATAATCTCTCCTCTCTCTATATATATGTATATTACCCCTGTTAAACAAGAAGACTTAGCAAACAATATGGCAGAAGAAGTAAAGCTTTTCAAGACATGGTCAACCCCTTTTGGTTTAAGGGTTGTTTGGGCGTTGAAGCTCAAAGGTATAGAGTATGAATCAATAGATGAAGATCTATCCAACAAGAGTGCTCTGCTTCTTCAGTACAATCCTGTGTACAAGAAAGTCCCAGTTCTTGTTCACAATGGAAAGCCAGTCTCAGAATCACTTGTGATTCTTGAATATATTGATGAGACATGGAACCAGAATCCGCTATTGCCCGAAGATCCTTTCGAGAGAGCCAGGCAACGGTTCTGGGCCAAGTTCAATGAGGAAAAAGTAAAGATTTTCAGTTTCTGTATGCATTGGTTTTTGTACAAATAAACATGGGTGACATCTTGTTCTTGATGCAGCTTTTACCAACAATAATGGCCATTTTCACCAAGGAAGGGAAAGATCGAGAGGAAGCGATGGCCGCATGGGTGGAGAATCTGAAGTTCGTTGAAGAAGAGCTGAAAGGGAAGAAATTCTTCGGCAGCGAGAAGATAGGACTGGCAGATCTCGTTTTCGGTTGGATGGCTAACTTGATCGGTATTTTTGAAGAGGTAACTGGCTTGAAAATAGTTGATGAGAGATATCCACTATTGTTGGCATGGATGCAAGAGTTTTATGAACACCCTGTGATTAAAGATACATGGCCTCCCCATGACAAGATGATCATCAAGTGGCAAGCACTTTATGAAAACTACCATCCTGCAAAATAATCCCTTTGTGAGATCTTTCCATGAATTTTTTACATTATAATTTAGGCATCATATTGCTGCAATAAATTCAAAACTGTTTGTCAAGGCAAGGCCTTCAAGATAATATATATATGTATATGAATGTGTCAACATGTAAGCATGTATTTGCGCATCTAATTAGCAAAATGAATCTCTGTACTTTTTCATTTTCCTTTTGATGAAGAGAATGGAGACATCGGCATGGATGCATCACCAACGATCTCCACAACTACAGGTTCCATCATTGAAAAGATGAAGACGATTGGCGTCCCTTACTAAAATCTCCCTTTGCATAATCATTGATATATACTTGGTCACAGTGTGACAATCCCGCAAACGCGAAGGTTTTTCATAATCTGCAATGGCGTCCCGGGCTCTGTGTTCAATAATCCAAACGCCATTGCAAGCCTTTCACTGTGCCCGCAAAGCATGTCTCTTTTCTCATCCTCTTCAACGTCGTGCAAAACATATCTCAGATCAGCAACATAACCTTCCTTAGCCATCAACCCAGAAACTATCCCTAACAACTTATTAACCTCTTCAAATTGTTCAAAGAACTTATCCCCAGTTCCAAACACATACAATCTTCTTTTTATTTCTATCCAGCTACATCCAGGATCTTTTTTGAGCCCTCTAGCTTTTATGGATTTTCGTATCGTTCTCACTTGCTCCCACTTCCCTAAACTGGCGTTTATATTTGATGCTAAAACATAATACCCGGTATCATTTGGCTTTAGTTCAAAGGCATGCTCAGCAACACGTTCTGCAACCTGTGTTGCCACTTGATCGGCATGCACTAAGTAGAGAGCCCCATATACTTGCATCTGCTTCAGTGGCATCGATTTTATAAACCTCTCAGCTTTATATATCAATTGAGAACGGGAAAGAAGATCAACTACACAAGAATAATGTTCAATCCTAGGCTCCAAGTTGTAATCTTTCTGCATCTGGTCGAAACAAGCCAAACCCTCTTCTACTAAACCTGAATGGCTACAAGCATTAGATGATGGCAACAAAGGCAACATGGTCAGGAATAACACCAGCTGCTTCCATATCTTCAAAAGCTCTCAGCGCTTTGTGGCTTGCTCCATACATCACATATGCAGAGATCATAGCCAGTCCATGTCACAACATCTCTCACTTTCATATGGTCAAATACCTGGGCAGAATCATTTAAACTACCACATTTAGAGCACATTTCAATCGGTGGATTCCCAGTTGGAACGTCTGTTTCTGTTTCAAATCAAAATCTGAAAATACAGCCATGGATCTCCTTCCCTTGCCGTTTGGAAGTGAAAAACGAGCACATAGGCAAGATGCCTAGCACAGTGGCCACATCAGGCATCACTCCCTCAGACCTCATTTGATTAATCATTCTCAGTCCAAAAGTGAAATCCCCAGATTGAACACATGCAGCTATAATTTTATTCCATGTTACTCTATCATGAGTTTTCATGCTTTCAAATATTTTCACCGAGTAATTCAATGGCCCACATTTAGCATACATATCAGCCATGGAGTTATTGACAATGAGATCTGAATCAAATCCCAATTTAATTACATCACAGTGAATTTCTTTCCCCGGATCTTTGTCAACTAACCTTGTAGAAACAGAGAGGAGCATCACACAGGTAATAGAATCAACTTTCAGAACAACCTTCATACTACTAGCAAGCTTCAATGCTTCATCATAATTAACATACTGAATATAACAATTGATCATCGATTTCCACGAGACAGAATCCCTGCACATCATTCTGCCTACTACTTCTCGTGAAGCTGGCAAGTCACCACATTTCGTATACATATCAATAAGAATGTTATCAGAAGTAACATCACTCTGAAATCTCCTTTTCTTCATGTACTCATGAACGAACTTTCCTAATTTCAAGTCGCCTAAATGACCACAAGCACGAAGAACAGAAGTAATAGTTAGTAAATCAGGCTTAAACTAATCCACCACCAGCATAAACAACTCGATCGACTCTGTATGTAACTCCATCTGAGAATACCCACATATCAATGTGTTCCGAGTAACAGTATCTCTAAAAACCATTTCATCGAAATCCTTCGTGCTTCGATGAGCGTATTGTTGACACTAATTTTTCGCCAAAATCGCAGCTCCCTCTTCACGCCTTACGCAACCGTCGCCGGTTCTCTCGGTACCCACGTTCCAGAATCCCCCGGCGCAAGGAAGGCAAGTCACAACCAAGCAGAAGTTTAATCTTCGTATGACTCAAAAAACGGGGACTAAAAATAGTAAATGTTGTCCTATAAATTGATCGAGCACACTAGGGGGGGTGGAGGTTCATTCGAAGAAAAAAAACATACGAGAAGCAACGATCTGAAAAAAGAATTGGGAGGAGAAAAAAGAAAATAGAGAGAACAAGGGAGATTCGAAATATCGACTGAAAGAAAACACAGGGAAGAACAACATACCTTGAAAAAGTTACGATCTAACGGCGGAATAATCAGATCGGATTATTGAAAAGTTGAAAGGTTTTTAACTTTTTCGTGGAGTTGAAGGCCTCTTCTCGCAAAACCGGGGACGAATCCGAATTGTTGGCGTTGTGGATGGGTTTTTGGTTCACCCGACCCGAGAGCAAAAGAGTCTCTACCCGAGACCTGATTTGATCTAACCAAAATAAATTTATATCCGATCCGATCTGAATATATGACATAAAAATCTGATCCAACCTGAAATAATAAAAAAATTATTTTTTTTCAATAAAAATAGTGACTTAATTAAAATATATATATATATAGGGATATTATTGTAATTATCCCTAAATATATATGATAAAATTATATATTTTTTCAGGTCGGGTTGGGTCGGATTTTTTTCACCCTAGATCCGAACTCGACCGGACCCGAACACCACATAAAAAATCTGACCCGAACTTGAAATTTTTTAAAAAAAATCCGACCCGATCGAGTTGGATCGGGTTTAAATGCACAAAACCCTAGTTGAGACGAACCTTCCGTTGAAGTTTGAGATCAAACGGCGGAGAGTAACTGCGAAAAGCGATTCACCTGTTCCCGGCGAAAGCATTGTAACATTCACTCTCCTTCTCTCTTTCTGTGTTTTACGTGAAGGAGTGATAAAGATGAGCCTTTTTTGTGTTTTGTTTATGAACATGTGTTTAATACATTGGTTAAATTAAGCAATTAACCATTTTAGTTTTAGATGATTTAACTTCATTCTCTTGAGTTGCAACACTTTGGTCACTAATGTAAATTAACTCCTTTTTTATTTTTTAATTTTTTTATTTTATTTTTTTTATTTCAAAATGTAACTCTTTCTTATTTTTATTTGTTTTATATTCCATTTCCTTTTTTAATTTTTTATATATATATATTTTTTATTCTCTTATTTTTATTATTATTTTTATTTATTCTTTTATATTTATTTTTTTCAATTTATTTATTTAATTTTTCTCTAATTTAATTTTTTATTTTTTAGTTTTTTTACTTTTTTATTATTTGTTTTGATTTATTATTTTATTATTTTGTTTTTTTATCTAATATTTATTTATTATTTTTCTATCTAACATTTTCGTCCTTTTCTATAAGAATTCTAACTAATCAAATGTAAGCAATTTGAATCGGGTAATTTAAATTTAAATTTAAATTTTCGCAATCAAAGGACGGTTCAGGGGTGCTAATCCTTCCTTGACCATAACCGACTCCCGAACCGGACATATTTCTGGTAAGACGCATATAAGGTATGATGGTGTCCGACCCACCTAAATTCGTTTTAAAATGGTCGGTGACGACTCCAATTCATTCAAATCGAAGCCTAATTCCGGGCCCAACCGAAAGACGGAGGAGACAGCTTGGCAACTCTGCTAGGGATAGGTAAGTGAGTCAGGCCAAAATTAATTTTTCGGTTGTCTTTTTAAGCGAAAATTGCAAGTTTAAATTTTAATTTATTTATTCGATTTCAATCATTTATCTTTGATTATTTTTCAAATAAATAGTTGTATTGACGTTTTTTTCAATGATTTTAGATTTTTAACTTTTTCCATCTAAAGATATATACCCGAGCTCCGAACCCTTTTAAGTGGGGGTGAAAGCGACGCCTTCGTGAGAATTTATTCTTCGTATGGGCCTAGCAAGTAACCTTCGGGATTCATACCTTATGTCTTCATGTGAATTTATTCTCCGTATGGGCATAAGGGAAAGTATCCACTCGAGTTTAACTTAGTCCACATAAGCTTGTAATGGGCGTAGGACTAAGGGTCTGGCAAACCCAAAGGGCACCAGCAAGGAGAACTCATGTACCTTCTTTAGAACCTAAACTGGGAGAGTACAGGGAATTAGAGCCCACCCCAAAACCTCATTTCAAACCGTAAGATGTCAGAATTATTTCCTGCTTTACTTTCTATTCAAAGCATGCGAACTAGACAAATATGCGGTTAGGATTTATTTGAAATTAGCATGCGGGATAGAGATCATGTTCTGGTAGGAATAATAAGCATGTGGGGTAGATATCATGTGGGGTATGACTTTTATTTTCATGATTATTTGTTTTCACCTAACTAACTTTTTTTCATTTTTGTTATCTTTTATTTTATTTTCATCATTTGCATCATTCGAAAGAGATGTTGATCCACCAAAAACATATTCGTTAAACATAAATAGTCTGCATTAATGGACAAAGGGGTTGTAATACAAGAGGTAAAAAAATGTAGAGGTCCGACTATTGTCAGAAAAAAGACTCAGAAGGAAAAGGGAAACATTCTGCGTGGCAACTATGTGTCACATTTGATTAAGAAGACGTGGTGCCCACAATCAAGTACATCAAAAGTCAACTTTTCAAAAATTAGTTGACAAAGGTGGCAGGGGCAAGACGAGAAAAATGTTACTGACCTCGAGAGTCCATTCAAAGACAACAAGAACAAGATGACTAAACGATAGCTGAATTGGAAGCCATTGTCGACAAATTCAAGAAACAATCAAATGAACTTCAGATAAACCCTTTGATGGAGGATTTCAATGGCGTTTCCGTTATAGAATAGGTCCAGGAAAGGATGAAAGCCAGAGATGCAGTCATTCGATACTTCTGGAACAAGTACAAGAAGCAGCTCGTCACTTGCGTGATTTACCCAGAGAAGTCAGAACGGTTTGACAGGGTATTCGACCGATGACAGAAGAAGATAGAAGA